TAGGGCATACCTTGTTTAGGTCAGTATAATCAACACACATTCTCCATGCCCCGTTTGGCTTCTTAACCAGGACGGGGTTGGATAGCCACGTGGTGTACTTGATTTCTCGGATGAACCCTGCGTCGTGGAGTCTTTTCACTTCTTCATCAATGATCTTTTGGCGCTCGACGCCAAACTTTCTCTTTTATGGGAAATGGGCTTGACTTTGGGGTCCACGGACAAACGATGGCAACATACTTCGGGATCGATGCCTGGCATGTCAGATGGTTTCCATGCAAATAGGTCTCTGTTGTCTCTCAGCAGCTTGATCAACCTGTCTTTTGTTTCGGGATCTAGGGTCGCCTCGATGGTTGTTGTCTGATGATTATCGTCGCCCAGCACGACGTGCTCTAATGCACCATCTGGCGTGGGCCTAGCATGCTCTACTCGCGGATCATCTCTTGCATCAAATTCTACCAAGAAACACTGATCGTGCGCTCCCCATTTCTTGGCAGGTCCTTCATTGGTTGGCAGGGCGGTCACTTGTTGAGATGCTGGCTGATCTTTGAAAGTAACCTTAGTCATTGGTCTCAAGGATATATTATAGCAGCTTCTGGCTACTATCTGGTCGCCTTTCACCGTTGCGACCTTATTGTTTCTGGCGACGAACTTCATCGCCAAGTGTGGATGGGAGATGCTCGCCTCAAAGGCGGCGAACATTCTTCTGCCGAGAATGGCATTATACGCAGAAGAAGTGTCCAACACTAAGAACTGGATATCTGCTGACTTTGAAGTGGGTGGCGTTCCGAGGGAGAGACGTAGACTGATCACGTCCAACGGCTTGGTTGTGGTTGCGTTGAAACCTGAAAGTTCTCCTGCGACTGGGGTTAAGTCATCAACTGTAAACCCCAGCGCCCTGAAACATGGCAAAAAAAAAATATATCAGCGGAACTACCGTGATCGACAAATACACGGTTAATACCATAATTGGCAATTATTGCTTGAATGACAAGAGGGTCATCATGTCCTGGGAGGACATCGCCTAGATCGCTGTTATCCCAATCAATTTTGGGTCTGGTCGGACTTGAGTCTACTTTATTAATGACTTTTCCAGCAATCGCCATACATTGCTTCAAGTTTTTTTTTTCTGGCGTTCGACGTCTCACCGCCACCGCTCAGTCCTCCGAAAATCATATTTATAACCCCGTGCTTGACGGTTACGGGGTCTTCTCCTTCGTCGTCTCGCCTACCTCTATCGTTGGGGCTTGCTTGCGCTCTCCGGCTGCTTGGAGAGTCTTCTCTTCTGTCACGCTCATGTCGTGGTCGAGAGTTTACCTGCCTCGTTCTACGTCTCTCTGGCGATTTACTGCGCTCCATGTACCGCCTTCCGGTTCCCGATGGGCGTGCACCATCGCCATCTCTTCTTTGAGCACCACCCTTAATGAGCTCATCAATCTCATCTTTGAGGTGCCTGCACTCCTCAGTACTGTGGCCGTTACTGCGGTGGAACTTGCAGTAGACCGCGGCTTCTCTAGCTGGTTGCTGAGGGCGTTGATTTACCTTGGAATCATCTTTATAATCAGTCTGTAGGATGCTGTGAGTTTGGCGCCCTGTTGTGTCATGCCTCGAAGGGCGGTTGGCATATCTAGCTGACTTGTGTCCCTTCTTACTATCTTCTGCTGGGCTCCTATTTTGCTGGCTTCCTTCTCTTGGCTGTAGGCATCATCAGCTCGACTTGCCTTGTATTCTTCAACTCTCATATACTCCTGGGCCACTTTCCTAACTTCTTCTAATTCAGTAATTTCGTGGCGTGCTAGCTCATAGGCAAACGACCCTGCTCGCAAGCCTGAAAGGAGAATATGAACCTGCACCTTTGGGTCTAAGCCTTGCACCTGTAGGGCTTCTTTGTCAAAGCGGTCTAGAAAGGATCGAAGAGATTCTCCAGATTATTGGTGGATTTTCTCGAGTGAGTGAACGGACTTTGGCACGGGGCGGCTGGTTGCGAAGTGGGACTAGAACTTGCTTGCTAAGTTGTCCCAGGACGCGATGCTTCCAGTCGGTAGGGTAGTGTACCATGTCAGCGCTCTTCCTCCTAGAAGCGTAGGGAAAGTTCTGCACATTAGGAGGTTCGTTTCGCCATGCAGCGTCATTGCTGCTTCAAACTTTTGGACCCATTCAAAAGGATCTGTCTCTCCAACATATGTGGCGATGTTGGAGGGGCCTTTAAAGCCGAGGGGTATGGGAGTCAACCGCAGGATGTCGGTCAAGGGCTTGTTGTGCCCTGATGTATGAGTAGGGGTTATTCTGACGTTGTGGATGTGAGTCTGGTGGTCTGGCTGTGGATGAGGTATATGTGGGGCCTCAACGGAGTAAGAGAGAACTGGGGCGTGATTAGGGACCTGATGGGCGATATAAGGTAGCTGTCCAGGATTCTGGCCAGATGATAGGGGTTGTAGGGCAGCAATGTGGTGAGGTGGTATGGCGTAGCCATGGAAAGGGTAACCAGCGATGTAAGGTTGGGGGAGAGGAGAAGCGATATTGTGAGTGTAAGGTCCGTGTGGGTGTGGGGCGCCCATGGGGGCTCGGTGAGCGTTATACATCGCTACCGGTTGACTGCGGGCTGGTTGAGGTCGATAGGTGGTTGGGTGAACTGGAGGAGCAGCAGCGTGGAATGGAATTCCAAAGTGAACTCCCGGTGGCGGGGGTTGATCAGGGACCACATTTTCTCCTTGCATTTCACGTATAGGTGCATGATGACCTGGCTGCGCTATTCTGGCGCCAGCTGTTGGCAACTGTGGCCCGACAGATAGTAGTACTGGTGGGACAGCCTCTGCAGCATGTCGCGCAGCTGGGGCTGAACGCATGGATGGCGGGGAGTTGGAATGTACAGTTTGTACGTGACCATCAGGGGTGACAGCCCTGGCTTGTTTCGCTCTTCTAGTCGTGACGACTATGTTAGTTATTCAGATCGAAAGGATGTCTCGTTTCTTAGGTAGGAGGATGGGAATAGAAGTTTATAGTTTCCCACAAACGGTGCCAATGTACCGTTAGAATCTATAAGCCCACTATGTTCCTTTTAGGGACGAGTCAATGTATGGACGATACCCTTAGTACAGGTACAAACCAATCTAAGGAGTATGATGCCAAGTACAAGCAAAATAATCAATGGATATCTAAGGTGATAAAATGACTCTTAAGTAAATGGACAGTATAACGATACATAAGATGCTCTAGGGGTGCCCTAGGGAGCTATTTATAAGGGAAGATTGTGCTTACCGGGTGAGGGTTGGTGGGGAGAAGGTCAACTCTCCTTGGGGCCATATGCCGATGGCAGTGTTGGGCGTGACAGGCGCTGCCATCGTAGCAGTGCTGTGCCTTCTGTGTCAGGCGGTGTCAACATAGGTCTCAGGGGGACAATTTACTCTTAAGGCATTTGGGCGACCGTTTTCGGGAGTTGAGGTCCCTAGGTGGGATACTTTGGTGTTTAGCCTTGGGAAGTTACCACATTGGGGGGTACGCGTCGCCCCAGCTGGTAGGGCTGACGTGGATGCTTGGTAAATGTTGGGCCTTGACTATTGGGCCTGACTCTTTTTGGGCCATCCGGAACAATATGCATCACCAACAATATCATTCTGCAATTGAGGAAGAACAAAGTGTACCTTTTATTTGCAAAGTGAGATGCTTTAATATTTCTCACGACTTAATTCTTACAAAAGGCACATGCTTGAAGGCCGGGTGCTCTTGTCCTCCACTAATTTTAATGCTATGTTCAAATTTAAATGACATCTTTTCGAAATGGAGAACTTGAAGTTTCTCTAAGTATTAGATGCCAGAGGGCAGCGTCTTGAGTTGGGGCATCCTGCTTAACTTGAGCTTTGATGGAATTCAAGTTGTAGAAATACTCGAGGTGCAGTTCCTTTAGTTTCTGAAACCGTCCATCTTGAAACTGCAAACTTTCACCTCTATAACTTACGCACCCGACATGGAGGGACAACAAATTTGGCATATTTTGTAGTGATTTCAATGGATCATCACTTAAATAAGAGTATTCAAAGTACAAACTTCCAAGGTTTTGGAGCTTTGGAATCCATTCTGGCAGTTTATATAACATCCCTTGAAGTCGAAGCTTCCGAAGCATAGGAGGTGAGGCTGAAATAAAATGCGGATCAAGGACTTCCCATGTTAATCCATTAAGAGATCTCGACTCAATACATAGTTTCTCCAAGTGTTGCATCTTATTGATTGAGTAACAAAGAGCCATTCTGCTTTCTTTTGTAACTCCAACAAAGCCTAGTTCCCTTAATTGCTTCAGCTTTCTCAACTCTATAAATAGCTCTACTTCATCATCATCTATTTCCACTTCACGTAATGTTTGTAAGGATGTCATACCCCCAATACCATCCTTCAATTCAGATGAAGGCCTCTGATGACCCGGGAGATGTCTTAGTTTTCTAAGCTTTCTAACCCCCTTTGGCACACCGTACTTTTGCTCACCATCATGCGATTGAGCCCTTAGATCCAAGGTCTCCAAGTTCTGGAGTTTAGCAATGAATATTTCAAGACTTGCACGTTCTATCCTTGCTACCCTGAAGCTTAAATACTTCAAGTGGATTAAATCCTTGAAATTTTTAGGAATATCAAACCAATTCATATCACTTTCATAATCAAGCAACTTCAATGACTTGTATTTTGTAGGGATTTTCCTTACAAAGTCTCGATGTAATTTTTTACCCTTGAAAACAAGCAGGGACTGAACGTGTGACCTTTCAGTAATTCCCATTAAATCCTTAAAACTATTTGCTATTGATAGACGCCGAATTATTCCACTTACTGGTTGATCAGCTTCCACAATACACTGGCAAAAACTTAAATTTTTAATTTTTTTTAAGGTTCACGTCATGTAATAGGTCATGAACACAACAAGTTCTAGCTTTGCCATCGAGGGTAGATGAAGATACTTGTACCAAATTTCTACTAATCAAATCTGATAAATATTGCTCTGCAACTTCCTCTAAAGTTTTTCACTCTTCAGATGTAACAAATCCTTCTGTTATCCATTGTTGAATCAGTCTTTTCGATTTAACCACATAATCTTCAGGATATATTCTGAAATACAGTAAGCATGGCTTGAGATAATCAGGCAAATCATCATAGCTTAAACCTAAAATTTTTGTTATATCAGTCAAACGGGACTCCTTTTCTAGTTCTGAACTTAGACTTTGATTGAACTTTATCCATTCAAGTGCATTTTTGTTTTTGCTAGCAGCTAAGATACCAGCAATTGCCACAATTGCCAGTGGGAGACCATTACATTTTTCAACAATTTTGGAAGATATATCAATGAGTTCTTCAGGACAACATATGTCAAAGTCAGATTGGAATGCCCTCTTACAGAACAACTCAAAAGATTTTTCTGGAGTTAAAAGTTGCAGCTCAAGCACTTTAACAAGAGAAGATTCCTTACTGAACTGTGCAACATGCATATTCCTGGTTGTGATAAATATCCTACTTCCATTCTTGTTATTGATCACAGCCGATTTAATATCATCCCAAAAATTGTTATTCCACACATCATCAAACAAGACAACATACCTCTTTTGTCACAAGTAACTTCTCACTTTTCAACCAAAGAATCTCTATCCATTTCAAGAAGACTTGGAAGAGGATCCTCTTTTTCTTTTTCATAAAACTTTTGCAACATCTCCCTCAACAACCTTTCTACAGTGTATGGCTGAGACACTATGATCCATGCATGACAATCAAAGTGCCGAATCACCTTTTGGTTGTCAAAAACTTTCTTGGCAAGAGTGGTTTTCCTTGTCCTCCCATTCCAACCACAGAGATGACAGTGCGCTCTGCTTGTCCCTCTACCCGCCAACCAATCAATTCATCTCTTGGGGCATCAAAGCTTACAAGTTGGTCTTCCTCAATGTAACGGTAACCCATCCTCTGAGGGTCTTGTGAATTGACATTTTGTCTTTCTCTTGAACTGTTGGATCCCTGTTCAAAAGAACTTTCCATTTGGAAGGCAGAACTTGCACTTTCTTCCAGAACTTGCACTTTCTTCCGTGATTTCACGAAGAGATGACTTGATGTTTCTAATCTCAGAAGAAATTCGGCGACGAGGGATCAAAGTTTTGATGAAGTGAACAATATTACATAGAAAACATTCGCATCCAAGATCATGAGGATTCTGTTCAACATAGATCATGTATTCATCAATGACATCTTCTATGCGAATAGCTTGTTCTCTCAACATCTTCACCCATTTTTTGATTCCATCCTCTGTGTTATCACCCTCAGCTGCAGCCCTTTTATCTACATCCTTGAGGAAGGCTTGAATTCTTTCAAATTCATCTCTGATATCTTAAAATTCTTTTGGGACGCCCATAAGCAGATTTGCTTCTTCCTGTAATAGTCGAAGCAATTTCTCACGAGCCAAAGACACTGCTATATCAGCCATTTTAGGCAAGCACTGATTTCAGCTGTATTGTGAGATGAAGACTTTGAAATATTTCTTGAACAAGTTCTGAATTTTGAGATTTAGCTAATCTGTAAATGTAATTAGACAATGTTAGTTCTATTGGTCAGTTTGAGTTGTACGAATAAATTTATTTTAAAAAAATCTAATTGTCATATAAACTGTTTTGCAGGCATAAGGATCCGTGAAGAAATCTTGAAGCTTCTGGCAAAGATGAACCAGGATGATTTATTGAAGATGAAGAACTAGTCGATGGTCATCATCTTGCGGTGAAACAATGTCTTCTGGTCCAAGAATCTGTGAAGAAAAACCAAATAAGGCTGAGTTGCAGCAATCGGGAACTAAGTTAAATTTATTGGAAACCAAAAATCAATCATAAAATCGGAAACATAAAGATAAATTTATTGGAGACAGAGGAACTAGGAAAATTGGCAAAAAAAAATTGAAATTGAGTTTCTACTTTGTATTTTGATTCCACAGAAGCAGAAACAGTGATGTCAAGAAAAAGAAAAAAACCCTAACCTGATTTGGCCACAGCGACGGACGCCAAAGACACCAAAGTTGCCAGACACGCTGACGTGTCGGAGAAATTGATTTAGGGTTTGGATTCGATTTAGGAACAAATTCGTTTATACCAATTGGATCTATTTTTTTGGGGTTTTCGATCAATCATCTATTCGCCAAAAGAAAAAATAAGAGTATTAGGTCTTTAGGAAGTCCCGACCCATTTTAGATTTGCTCATGCCAATCAAATAATCTTAGGCCCAAGAGAGATAGGAAACATCGACACCACTAACTAAACTAATGCCTTACTTGTTATCAAAAAAAAAAAAAAAAAACTAATGCCTTACTAATTAATTTTTCTATTCATAACTTATTTACCATCATACCAAAGTGTTGTTAATTGGTCCCTCTCAATCAATTTGGTTGATTGTTATTTTTACTTTCATTTATTTTAAAACTTGCACTATTCACTTTTTTATATGTATTAGACAAACTTTAAATCCTATAGTTTTTTCCCCTCTTGCTGGACTGTCCCAGTTCAAAGATTTCTAAAACTTAATGTTGATGGTGTTGTGGTTGGGGACAAGGAAGCTTGTGGAGGCCTTCTAAGGGATTGGAGAGGCTCTTGGATGGGTGGTTTATCTGTCTTCCTTGGCTCTTGCTCCTCATTACATGTTGAGCTCTGGGCTGTTTTCCATGGTCTATCTTATGCCTGGAAGCAAGGTTGGAAGAGAATTGTTTTGGAATCTGACTCCTTACAAGCATTAAGCCTTCTTACCAATGTTGGTAATGATACTCGAGAGCTTTCTTTGGTAGCTAAGATTCGAGTTCTTCTTCAGAATGATTGGACTGTTTTGCTGAATCGGATCCCGAGGAAGTGTAACTCTTGTGCGGATTGGATAGCTAAACGAGCAGTGGATGACCCTCGTGGACTTACTGTCTTCTCATCCCCTCACAATGACATATTATTAACCTACTAGCTTCTGATCTTCTGGATCCTGGAGTTGTTACTGGCAGTGAATAAGAGGCTTATTAGTTCTTTCTTTGCTGCTTCTGTCTTGATTTGTTTTCTGTTTTTTTAGTCTTTCGTTGTTGTTCTGTTTTGGGACTATGCCCCTTCCTGTTACCAAAATAATAAAAAAAAATCCTATAGTTTTCCCACGGTCTATATATTCCCATGTTCATATGCAATGAAATCATGAAATAACCATTCAATTGAATAACTAGGTTGGTTCTCACACGAAAGCATATGGATTGAAATAACCATTCATAAAGTCATGATGACCATGAATTCTGTTTCTTCAAATTAGATTAAAGGGGCCAGTTCAGTAATTTAATTTATGAATCATTATAGTTAGTGGCGAGCTCAAAAAAATTTATAACAGGGAAAAAAAATATATATATATATATCTATATATATATATATATATATATATTATAAATAAAAGTACTTACAATATAATACACACCTAATATAAAAAAAATTGAATGATATTTACTACAAAAATGAAGATCACTTCACAATCCTTATTCTACGTATTTTTATATTGTAAAACTCATCTATAATTGAATACATACTAAAACTCAAAACAAATTCTTTTTTAATATATGTAACCAAAGAATCATCAAGAAATTAGTCTATGCTTTCCTACAAAAAATAATTAAATAAATAAAGATAAATAAATAGAAAAATAAGTCACACACAGAAACATATGTCCAACAAATAAAAACAAGATATGCAGATGCCTACAACACCCGTAAGTCAAATAATATATTTTTTTAATGAAAATTTTGAAAATAGACAATTGTGTCAATGAGACAAGAAAAAGCAAAAAATATAAAAAAAATAAAGACGTATTATCAACTACAAAAACATTGAGAATCTATGTTAGCGATTAATGATTTCAAATTGACGAGAAGTTAAGAAGAGACAAGAGAGTAGTAGAATTTGGTAGAAGAAAGAAGAGGAATGGCAACTAGAGCTAGCAAAACAGGCTCGGCTCGGCGGGTCAACTCCTCCGCCTGTCAAATGGCAGGGCGGGCTGAGTTTTACAACCCATTTCAAAAACGGGGCGAGGATTGCTCTTTTTTGGCGGGTTGAAGGCGGGGAGGGGCAGGCTGAGGTGGGTTAATGTAAAATAGGTTCGCGCCAGCGAATTTGGCGGGCAGGGTGGGCCGAGTTTTTTAGCTTGTAACAGCCCGTTAGTACTGGTATTGTTATCATTGCATATGGTATTAAGCGCAGTTACAATCACAGTAATTGAGTTAATTAAATTACGGGTAAACTTTTTCCTTTATTACATCCTTACCTTTAAACATTAACTATTTTCGTAATCAATTAAAAACAACATCGTAATTGTAAATGCAAAACTCACGGAAGCATAAAACTTATTTATTATAACCCCTTCAGTAATACAATTAACTCTAGGTCATAAAAACACTTATTTTCGAAATTTTCACAGTGGTAATCGATTACCATTCTTGAGGTAATCGATTACCAGAAGTTGTAGAATAAGGCAGTAGCTCAATTTGGGCTCTTTTGGTAATCGATTAACTTGACATAGGTAATCGATTACTGAACTAGGTAATCGATTACCTATGCATAAGTAATCGATTACTCAGATCACAGTGGCTCAATTTTTGCGTCCCCTATTTCAGGTAATCGATTACTATACATTTAAGGTAATCGATTACCCTACTGCAAAATGACAGATGACAACATTTTCTTTATAAAAGGGACATGTAATCTACTCCTAACACTCCAATACTAATTACACAACTTGCACAAGAACTAATGTAGGCTCTAGGCCCTTCCATCATGCATAATCATTCATCCATGCATCAATTACAATAGTCCCCAATTCCAAAGTCATTTAAACATCAAATGGTATCTTTACATCACAAGTCTCCAAATGCCTCTACACACAAAATATGTGGCCATGGACAAGTCCCATGCTTATCAAAAGGTTAGTGTAAACAATAGGCATAAATATACATCAACTACATAGACTTAGAATCTAGTCATGAACACCACAAAATCATGAAAATCTCAACATGCAATATGTTCATGATCTAAGTCCCAAAATACTAAATGTAATGCTATGTGCATCAAATATAACCCTCCAAAATGCTATACTCTCCATATTCACATCATGCTCAACTCCTCCACTAGGCGGGCCTCTTTTCCGAAGGTGACATGCTCACTATAACCTAAAATGATGTCCCCAAACGCAGGGTGAGATATACAAATATATCTCAGTAAACCAAGGGTACTAGAGGACCACTCCACCCCATGGTTCACTCAATGTGCATACAATGATCATCATATAAAATGCATAACATACAAAGTTACAACCCACACTGGGCTCACATCTAAGAACATCCACATAAGGATTTCGTTCAAGGACCCCATCATATAACTCCCGAGAAGCTTTCTGGTGCCTCTCCCATGGATGAGACGACCCATGGCAAAACCCAACTGGAACTACTCAAGAGACCTATCCAGCGGAAGTCCTATGTTTGGATCATCCTGGTACTGCTCCCGGAGACGGCCCCACGGCAAAATCCGACCGAAATCCTCCAAAGGGATATCTCCAGCGGAATTCCAAACCACACACATCTACTAGCCAGAGATCACAGATATGTCACACAATCAAAGCAACAATGCATGAACATACAATTTCACACAATGTCAAAGAGCACAAAATCCAACCACGACCTTCCACTAGGTGTGGCGGAACACACAAGGGATAAAACTCAAGTACCACGAGTTTACCTCAACTTCACAAATATTGCTCTTCTACGTAAGCTCCAAGCTTAATCCGTTTCTATTGCGTCCGTTAGAGGCAAACTATATGATCAAACAACAATGACCATCAATCAATTGCAAACAATCAATCAACTTCACAATAATTATAACCAAACATAACCACTTAGGCCTAATGGCCATCTTACATTTAATTCAACTACCTCAACCATGTTAATCCTCAAACTAATTCACTAATCCACTATTCTATGCATCAAAGCATCAACCATTAATTGTGCAACATTTTTCACATCATTTTTCCTTATCTTTTCCTCTAGGTCGAATTCCACATGGAATCATGCTCCAAGGTTTTCAATCCAATTCAACACTTACACATATCATACAATCCTATCATTAACTCATACCAATGCTCCACAACTCAATTATTCAATCCTACCATCATACCAATTCACAAAGTATTGAAATCTCATCATAAAATTTCCTAAATTACAATTTTCCAAATCACCATAATTTTTATTGCATCAATCATCATCATTTATCATTCTAAGCATTTAATTCCAAAGGAGACATACCAATTAATGTTCCTAACTATCATAACTCAACACACATCATCAAAACCCTCATCCAATTTATGATCTCAATGAAAACTCAATGAGAGTGTGAAAACTTACCACCAATAGCTTCCTAGGGTCCAAGAGAATGATCTCCAACC